CTATATCGTTATTTTTGTGGCGTTTGTATTCGTCAGTTTTAGAACGATTCGTATTAATGTTGGTAGAATCACGGACAATGTTAGGTAAAAGGACACAAGTACAACTAGTGTGACATTTAATTGTGGCAACGTTTCGTTCTCCAGGAGCTTTATCAACGGCTTGATAAAGCTCCTGGAGAGCGAAACGTTCCCACTTGGACAGCGCAACGTTGCACTTGTGTCCTTTTACCTAACATAGAACGATTTAAGTCCACGACAGTATTAAATATTAGTTACTTTTAAGTTAATTTAACTGATTGTATACTGAAGTTAGCATATAGTTACACAAGCAGGAAGATTACGTTTGCTAGCGGGAATACACTGATGTTTCTTAATTCGCTGGAAAGAATACGCTATATAGAGTGGGAGGAGACTGTGGAAGTCCCCCGACTCTTAGCCTGCACGGAGTCTCGCGTCTGGTTTATTTTAATCACTGGCTAATGTCCCGCTTTCCGTCACCCCCCCCCCCCAATCCCACTCCGCCTACACTTGTCAAGCGAAATCTCGGAAAGTTTGATGGATTGTTTCTAAAAGAACCTCAGAAAACTGGAAACACTATATTAGGCCTACTGGCCCCTTCACCTCCTCGTAGGTGTTAATGAAACAATAAGTATTCACTACCTTCCCTCAAGGGGAACAATAAATCTATTTCCCCTTAGGAGTTGAATACTGGTTTATTCTTTTCTTCAGCCTCTTAGTAAGTAGACCTCTTCAGTCTTTCAGTAGGCCTACCGCCTTGTGTGAGTAAAATATTTAAACCCTTCCTCAGTTGGGGCATGTCGCGTTAGTGGAAGTGTGGAGGGGGAAAATGGAAGGAGCGGTAATGCTACAACAGTTGAAGAGGACGAGAAAGAGGAGGAAGAGGAACAGGTATAATATTATACAATACAAGGACTGGTGACCTACCTGTGTTCGACCTTTTTGAGCTGTCACTCCAAATATTACTGCTGGTTACCCTCCGTCTTATTTTGGCTCCCCAGTCCTTCCACAATCAAGAATACTTATATAAAAGGCAGACTAACATAATATGACAAACGGACACATGTCACAACCACATAAACCCACACCTGCCACACACCAACAACTACCACACAGACTCACACCTGTCACAGTTACCAACAAAACACATACCGACAACTATCATAGTCATCAACACAGAAACCCATTTGTTGCAAACATCAACATAAGCAAAGTACCACCACAAACACCTAAACAAGACACAGTGATGATGAAGGATAAGGTGACTGTGGGAATCTATCTGTTAAGATTAAAACAATGACCGGAGCAGCAAATTGGATATCAACGGAAAATAAGCCTTCCGCCTTCCAAAGATGGCAGGGAGGCTAGGATAGCTGATGGCAGGGAGGCTAGGATATTTGATGGCAAGGAGGCTAGGATTACTGGAGCACGAGGGAAGCACCAGGAAAATTCGAGAAGCAGCGGCTGAAAGAGGAGGATTGAAAAAGAAAAGAAAGAAGATCCCAATAGGAAGTGAATCTTTAAAAGAAAAAAAAATATGCTAGGGAGCCAAAGCAGCACGTGGAAAGGTTGAGAGAAAATATGTGGAGATGGAGAATTAAAAAAGATAGAAAATGGAAAACAAATTAATTTTGAGGTAATTACTCCTTCAGCCTATGTGCTCCACATGTTTTACTCGTCTACATTATGTGTTAATCAAGGGGAAGCGCTAAACCCGGAGGATTATACAGCGCCTGGGGGGGGGATGTGGAAAGCATTCAGACTTAATTCGAGGAACTGGAGCACAGATCCAATTCCCTAAATCAAGAGCCCCTCACCAACATCAAGGAACCTTCCTTGAGGGGTACTCGTCTACAGAATTAGAGAGAGCAAAAATATAACATAAATTATTAATCTGAGATGATTTTAACCATATAGAAATTTACTGAGAGGTTTGGGAGATGGTTTTTAACCATATAGAAATTGCTGGAGAGAACTGGGACTTCATGAAATTATGACTTCCACAATATTTTGAGGCATTGACAAAGCAGGTAGGAATAGACTCTGAAATACGAGGACCATTGACAAAGCAGATGGAAGCTAAAGACAAATATGGGCTATAGGAATGTTAAGAACTTAATTACTGAAGTGGCAACAAAATGGAGTTGGCTGAGGAAGTGACTGAGGAAAATTCCATACAGAGTTTGAAGAGAAGATATGATAATTTCTAAGATACAAAAAGCCAGTAATGGTGTTCGATTTACTTGAAGAGGAGGGATCAGTAACAGACTCAATCCTCGCAAACAAATCACTGAATTCACAGTCCATATATTTTCTCCTTGTTTTCCTTGTGCATTTTTTTCTTTTGGTGGGATGAGTCTGGTGAGTGAGGGGTGATGAGCAAATGGTATAAAATAGCATCTTTATATATCCTAAGCTGCGATAATGACCAGGTGGATGATAAGGTCACAAATATAATGTTCGCGTTAATTTTTTGTTACCCAGCAGTTGTGTGTTAGTAGTGTCTCCGTGAATATTGGTGATACGGCTGGTGTCTTACAGT